AATTTTCAATTATTTATAATAAAAACCTATCGGTATGTTTCCTACATTTGAAAAACTACTTATATCCGATTTTATTGTAGCAAAATACATAAGATAGCCAAAAACCCTATATGGCCTATTTAAGGTTTGCGATTTTTTCCAAATTTATTGCCGAGTCCGAAATTTAAAACTGATGATCAGAAGCTTCAAAGAAGAAAACATTTTTGATCATTAAAAAAAATATGACTGTTTCAAATATTTACATATGTAGATGCAGTGAAGATATTTAAAAAATGGTAGCATTTAGAGTGCATATGCACACAATCTATACTTATTCGTATTATTTATTAAATTCACCGTGTAATTGCCCATAAACAGCGAATAAGGCATATTGGATTAAATCATGTAGGGGGTACAATTATCTTCATAAAATAAAAGCAAATATGTCTTTTGTATTACTTTAATCAAGAAACAAGCAAAACTTCTAAAAAAAATTAACGAGATATATGATGAATTGCTTCGTATCGATAACGCGTTTATATTCAAGCTGCAATTTCTTAGCTACAGCGATTGTTGTAAACCTCGTACATTAATTCTCAGCGAGAGTGACGAAAATCAGGCGGAAACTGACGCCTGCTTGTAAGCCATGATATATATTATAGTGTCCACATTGTTTCCACAACCTCTGGACCAGTCCCAAAGAGTCAGTTTAATGTTTAGATCGCTGAAGATGTGGCGCTTGTTAGAAGAAACACGCTCATACGATACCGCGAATTTCAATGCACTTGACTGAAATTTACGTAAAGCTCAATTTTTAATTTTACGTAGTATAATAAGATATACAGCAAAACATACATATATTATGCGATAGTGATTAAATTATTCCAGTAATAATCATGCGTTTATATCGTATAATTAATTAATAACGGGTATTATCTCTGAATATCTTTACTAATTTGAGATAAAATCAATCATATTGAGGTAGAACATTGCACTAATATAGATTGTATTTTACAAAAACAAGTAGGATAATACATTAATTATTTAGAATCGTAAAATAATCTATTGCGTAAAGGAAAATTAACTGAATATATAAATATAGATAAAAGAAGCTTATTAAATAAAAGTATAAAATGAATAAAATAAAGAAAACTTTTTCCATGAAGATCAATTAGGAAAGTTATGTGTATAAATAGAAAACATTTCTCCCGCTCAACTTACACAATTATCGTTATTGATCAATTTCACAAAGATATTCAATTTGCATTCAATGTTGCAAACAATTTAAACGACAATTATTCGTATCGGACAATACCAGGAATATGCAGTCGAGCCACGGTATCATTCAAACACACCAAGAAAAATATTATTCCAGCGGCTATTGGTTTTTCTGAACCGGATATCATAGCATCGATTCGGAGTAAAAAGAATAACGCGCAAATTTTACATATACACTTTCGCTTATTATGTATATCATATTTCTCACGCATATGTCAAGAGAGATCGCGCGTGATTTATTAAGGGTTTCACATATGTGAAATCGCAATAATTGTTCAATATCCTTAAAAGATATTTATTCCTCTTGTGGTTTATAATATTATCGCTTTAGAAAAGTCTGAAAATTTTTAAATAAATATTGTAAAATTTATAACGATCTGGTATGTATATAATAACTATAATAAAATTTATTATTAAATAAAAGTCATAAAAAATCCGTTTGTTGTCTTATTACACGAATCGTAAAGTTATCATGATGTGAAGAAAAATAACGAACAAAAAGCATCAATTAAATTATACTTATGGTATATGTACGTTATATGTATATGAATAAAATGTATTGTCTAGTAAAAATCTCAACATGGCATATTTCAACATGGCTCACAAAACATAAATCGATAACGCAATAAGACAACTAAGGCGTGTAGCTCGATTGACCTTATTCCAGAAACTAAACAAGATATTTAATACAAAACAGAGAAGCAAAAGAGAAGACAGAAACCTCAATCATGAAACGCGTGCCTTCCAATTATGTAGAATGTAAACGGATAATTTACAAACTTGATGAATGTATATAATATGCAGACAACTTATTCAATACAAGTAACTTTGAAAATGAAACACGGATTCTCTATAAGCCCCATTTTCCACTATAAGATGTAAAATCCGGTGAGAGAGCTTTGGTTACTGACCTCATTTTCACGTAATTTAGTATACAACCTTTTCAAAACATGACGGCAGGAGTGTAAATTAAACGAAAGTTGATCTGCTGATTCATGTTAGACCGGCAGCTTTTATCGTCTTACAACGCCCAACATGAGGTTTCGCGGACCCCACGTTTTGCTTGAAAAGTTACGTATACCAGCGTCCTGCGCGCCCGCAAAGTTTATAAAAGTTGTTCGTCTACATCCTGTAAATGACTTGAAGAGAAAGAACGAATTGTAGCACGGAAAAGCCAAGCATGGAACAAGCAAGCAAGATGGCGAGAAACGAGAGAGATGGTGACGCGACTTACGCAACAACGGCAAATAACGCTAATGAGTTTGCTACTTGTATTCTTTCAACAGGAAGCTCTCCTTGGAACAAACTCATTGCTAAAGAACGGTACGAAAAGGAGCAATATATTTCGTATCTTTTAGAAAACAAAAATATGCATTATATGTTATTATACACACAAAATTTTATAACATGACGAATTACGTATCTTAAATATAAAAAGTTAAAAAATAATGATATTATTTATTATATTATATTATATATAATAATATATATATAATATTATATATAATAATAGTAACAACACATTGATACAATAATAATTTTATCTTATACGTATAACATCATTATTATTAAATTATTATATCTTTGTTACATGAATTATGTATTATGAATATATTTATTATGAGAGAGAGAAGCAATAATATCTTTAAGAATTAATATATATCAATTTCAAAAAGTTTTATGTTATATATATAAACTATAATAAATATCAATATGGTAAAACGTAATTCTTACTGAGATCCTTGGTAACATCTTCAATAAACACAGCGCGAATATAGGTGACAAGAATAAATAAGATTAATACACGTGCGCGGACATCATCACATCGACCTAATTAGATATCGTGAAAAAGCCGCAAATGCATGACCGCCATAAATATTCTGTAAAATGCGACCATACAAGCATCTCTATTCGTTCATTTCCTAATGAGTTTCCTCTACGAGGAAACTATTATTACGTGGTGTATTGTTATTTATCATATATGATGAATAGAAAACGGAAGAAAAAATTGAGATCAATTTAGATTTTTCTTGCCATTTCTATTGTTTTTTTAAATTTAAAAATACGTTTCAATCTTTTGCTTTAAATGATAAGAAAAAGAAACATATGAAGATAATACAAAACAATAATAACTATCTATATTTCATTATTATAACATTAAAGTATATCATCAAATCATATCATTATTTGGTGATATACGTATTCTTTTTTATTATAAATAATAAAATATCATATCATTATAGTTTGAAACGGACTTGGTAAATTTGCGAAAATTTAAATGTATAATAAAAGTTTAGATTTTCATCAATTTCTCATATATAATACTTTTCACTTCTCGATATGTTTTATATAAGGTAAAACCGAGTTTTATCATTTGAACTTTTTCATCATTCATATTGCGCGAGAGATAAACCACTGAGGGCATTGCGATATACAGATTTGGGGCATTACTGCGGACATTACTGGGCATTACTTAAGAGAATTGTGTATTACAATAAGCAGTATGAGGTTATACATTAAATACTAGGGCATTAATGGGCATTACTAAGGCATTAATGGGCATTAATAAAACATTAGTGGATATAAAAATTGGACATTACTTGGGCATTACTGGACATTAGTACTATTAATAGGTATTGATGTAAACAATTTTAGTCAGTGGTTTACTTCTTGATATTGCTTGTTTCTTCAGTATCAAAGAGACATTTCTTTTAAACATACTTTACGCAGATGCTTCGCACAGAAAATATAAAGATAATACGCAGATTTCAGATATACCGCTGTTAAAATCACAAATATATATTAACGGAGGTAATCTTTTAGCCTTTATACAAAGCTTGTATAAATTTGTAAAAATATAGACTACGTCATACAACAAAAAACTTGACATTAAGTTCTACCATATTTTTCACATAAGATATTTCTTTTCTTACATAAAAAGGTACTTTTCAGAGATGATGTATAGTAACGTTCGCTGTCACAAAATAAGGAAATACATCAAGTTGTAAAACAGTAGAAAAAATTTCATATTTTCCAAAGTTTTAAAAAATATACTTTCCAACTTTTTATAAGTGACATTTTCCATCACAAAATAGGAACGTATCAAAATAATCAATCATGTCAATTTTTTAATTATGCCAAAATTCACTGCTACAGTTTGTTTTCTTAGAGTTTTTTTGCAAATAGTACCAATCCTTTTAACTTTGTTAAAACAATATTTTGCCATAAAATTTTTTTAATTACATTTAAAAATACTATAAAAAAATATTATTAAAATGTATATGTTGTATTTTTCAATTAATATAAAATGGCTTTTACTTTAATAAGAATTTTATTTTATCGGCTTAACCATCAATTAATATTTAACAATAGAAGCAAAATTTATGTGCAATGTATAATATATGGCATCAAACTTCGTTAAAGAAGAATTCAGTCGTCGGAGCATCCGTTAGTCAGATTCCCGTTAATAATAACACTCGTTTTCACAAAAAAAGCTGTTTTTCAACTTCTTGATAATGATACACCTCAACGCTGATGCCCAGCAACTCGTGAGAGAAATGCATGTCGACATATAAATCAGTAAATAATAACCGTAAAGACGCGCGGAAGGAGCTAGTGCCCACAATGGTCAGACCATTCTCGCAAACGGGACTTCCCGATCGGATGGATGCCGCGCCGCTGGCATCTATCGCGAATAATTATCAATGCGGTTCAATTATGCTATTATGTATTTTGCCACGTACCTGGACTGGTCTGCCAAGATAGGCCGCCGATGAACATTTTCCTAGAAAAGAAAGACGATTCCATCAGGCTCGTCGTCCAGTCGCGGGTCGTCGGCGGAAGAGGAAGTGGAGACTGCCGGCAGAGGGTAACTTCCGGTATCATTTTGCAACCCCCTGCGCAGTCTCCCATCCTGGGCGGCAGGTGTCACCACACATCAACAATCGAACAACACCCATTTCCTTTTATTTTTTTTTTCGCGAACATGTTTCGTCACGACGCGCCCGAAGACTAGATTTTCCGATCGCGAACGGAACGCGAATTGCGTGACTTCCTCTCGGACCGGCATCTTCGCTTCACAACCTTTTCCTTTTCGCACGCAGTGCCGCAAATCGAATCACATACACATGATTGATCCAATCGATCAACCGAATAATTCGTTATTTTTTTCCGTATATTAGGAGATCCCGTCAATCTCGAATTTGCGCCGTCGGAAGAAACCGTGCGATATGTATCTTATCTCTCGAAAGCCACTATCAATATGAATTAACGAAAAAGATAACAAATGTACATAGCACATACAGTTAGGTATAAGCAATATATGATGTTTCGAATGAAGAATTCAGCCTGCTCACTAACTCACTTAATAATCATTACTTCAATATATACTTAAGAATTATTGTAGTAGAAAAACCGAATTGATATCGAAAACTTTCACATTTGGATCCCTTGAGAGAGTTTTATAACTCAAGTCTTTGGATCTCTCTCTCTATATACATTAAGCAGAATACAAAAATCTAGGAAACTTTGACGATAATATTAATTACGTTCGTTCGAAAGTTTTAAAGTTTTCCATCGAGGAACACGTGCCGCTTATCGATCTGCACTCTTCCAAAGCAAAAATCTGCATGTTATCTGTTTTACAGATCGATGAACGATCTGCATGATTATGGACCATCTATACAAGTGAGAGTGCACTCATTTGCTAACGCTTTAAAGAAGACTCCGATATCACAAAGAGCTCTAGATGAAGACTTCTCACTATCAAGGTCGTTGAACGATAAAAAAAACGACGACCTCTGAGCTTTTTAGATAGACCACAAACGCGAACAGCTCCGCGAATAAACAGGCCGATCCGGAAGACCATCACCGGCTGGTATAATCTCTGAGGAAGTGAATTCGCTTCCTACACGACAGTCAGAGACCATAATCGATCCACGTACGCGTCATTAATTAGCCGGCTTAAGTATCCGTCAGCGTGCGTCGATAAGGAAACGACCTCCCATCCTTTTCATTCATGATCTCGTCCCCCTTCCACCTCACGGATGAGGAGCGATCCCCACTACTGCTCGCTCTTCATCATCGTCGTCGCAAATAATCGCGCCTCGCATTATTACACGGTGAGATAACGCTCCCGCTTGGTGGACGTAATCACGTGGTGGCGCATTTGAACATCGATTTTCCGAGCCACAATATAGCCATCTTCCTCCCACGCGCACTCGCCCCTCCTGCCCGTCACTTCTCCCGCCTATTCTCTCTGCACTGCCTCTATCCACCTATCCATCTAGAGCTTCCCAATTGGAAGAATCAAAGTGGGCTATCGTTTCCTAGCTCGTTTCCTACCGCGAGAATTAAATCTAGAACTGGTATTCACACAGATTATTTTAACGTGACAATCATATATATTCTTAATATCATTTATCATTAACGTCCGTATCACTTAACATTTCAAGTCTCCAATGGAAGCTAATCTTTTTAGAGAAAAATAATTAAGATGTTTTCTCGATAAATTCATTCAAAGAAGTTTATCTTTTTATTTATCTGTCAATACAAACAACATAAAATGTATTAACATCTTTCTCTCTCGGCATTTTACCATTGAATACTATTTGAAGCATGTCGGACATGTCAAAAAAAAACTCGATGAGAAATCTTCTCAGATATTAAATCATGCTTGTATTTATATACCTACATTTATGAGAGGAAAAGTATAAAAATTCATATTTCAAATGTTCTTAAAAAATTTAACCATGTAAATAAACATGTAGAGTTTCGCAGTATAATTTTCATTTAAATTATCTCAAGGTACGTTAGAGTACATTTTATATTGATTCGAAAAGCAAATATACAAACTTTAGTAAAATACTTAATATTTTGAGTTAACCAAAAGTTACATAAATCACAACAGCGTAATTATGATTATTTTCTTGTGAATATAATTTGTTTCAAAATTAATGTTTAATTGAGTATAAAATTTTTGTGTAAAACTCGAATTCAAGTATATTTCCTAATTTGTTAAAGAAATCGTGTCAAATGTGCTTCAAAAAATATTTAACCAAAAGTCAGAGTAATTAACAAACTCGAATATATATTTATAATCTCTTACAAAAAAAAATATATATATATATATACATTTCTGAATATGCATTTTGTCTGGAGTTGTTCAGGAGCACATGAACATTACTGCGTTTCCTCAATACTATTAAGGACAAAATTAGCAATTTATAAAAAAATTATTATTTCCTGTGCTACAACAATATGCAATAAAGTTTTTAGAAAAGAAAATACCTCACTATTCAATCAGTCAGTATAATTAAAAATACAGTTCAATCATATGTAGTTGGATAAATATTTAATCGAGGGATCTAGCGAATATTAATCAATATCATATCTTACGCTGGTAATGGTTAATAACATAATTTAATCAATTCATCAGTCACGTACAATCAAGCGAAATCAAGCGAAATATTCTCCGAGAATTGAAGATCTCATTGAATAAGCACAGTAACTATAACAGTGCGCTCTAACCAATACTAATCAATGTGTTATTTCACAACCATCGTAATCAGAGAGATGTGGCCTGATCAATTCATTAGTCACAACCAAAGCTGTATAAAACCATCACGTATTATCTCGAACAATACAGATATCATCAACAAATCGGACATGTACGATCGAACGAATGGAATCGATCGGATACCCCACTGTCGTTTTAGTCAAGGATGTAATCAGTTCGTTGACCACAATCGAAGCTAAACTATCGTGTTTTTCATCAAATCTCAAATATGTAGAAATCAAAAATAGTTGACATTGAACTAATTCAGCTATCGATCGTGAGAAAAATCTGAAAATCCAATTCAAGAACACTAGTTGTTTATGCGGAGCACCTGGACCGGTGCTCTCCATTTCGGGCAATCACGTGACAAGACCACGCGTAATTTCGCCCGGAAAAATTAGTCCACCACGTGGTCATCACAAGGCGTGGTGTCTTCACGTGTGGTATTCCACTATTTCACGTTCTTTCGCGAGTCTGCGAAATTGTGTCGGCTGACGGACAGAATTCGAAGGTGGCGGCATCTCCTCTCCCTCCCACCTTCTTTCCATTCATCTCTCTCCCACCCTCATTCCCATCCGCCCCCGTCGACACGGGGGAGTATACCGAACGTTGAAAGAAGGCGCCACCGGTCCGAGGAGAGGTACGCATATTCACGCGCCCGGCAAACATAAACACCATGCGTGTTTCTGCATCGCGGATTGATACACGACGGTATTTGCATCGTTATCGATGGCCAATCGATTCGGTTCGAAATCATAGCAAAGTGCGCGGATCCATCCGTTTTGGAAGCGACCGACGTTAAAACCAGAGCACTGACACGGAGCAGGATAACAGAAACACAAGCTTTTTCCAAGGACGAGCGATCGTCGCGCGACATCATATCAACGCACTGAGAACGAAAGCGCTCCATTTTCCCGCCCGTCGTTCCCCACCCTCTCTTTCTCCTTTCGTATTCTCCCACGCATTCACGCATACATACATCCTCTCTTATTCACGTGGTGGACAGTGACAACCTCCCGCACCCCTTCATTCGGTTATTTCCTTCGTACCCTGGATCGTTCGGCACCTCGGCGGGCGAGCCGCTCGCTACGATCTCCTGGTTCTGGGACTCCATAACAGCGCGCGACGCACGATTACTCGATGTCGTCGTCGTCGCGAGGTTCTCGCGTGCTCGGAGTGGAAGCGACGGCAAGTTCGCTTGAGTCCGGAGTAGTGAGTAGCCGTCTAGTGTTGTTGTGGATAAATGATGCTGCTGCAGTTGCGGACGGTGTTCCTCGGTTGCTCAATGTTCGCGACGGTGATCTCGTCGCCGACGGCAGCGGCGAGCGTCGTCGCGGCAAGGCTCGTGACGTATGAAAAGGGGGTGGTGTCACGACACGCGCGAGACTTCCCTCGGAACTTGTTCCAGTTGTGCCGGTGCTCCAACTACGTTTCGGAGCTTTCTCTCTCTCGCTCTCTCTCTCTTTCTCTCTCTCGCTCTATCTCTACCTTTCGGTCACACACACTCCGGATTACGGAGGGTGATGCGTACGCTGATAATCGCGCGGCACTACGACGAGAGCGCGATTATTGACGGCGAAGGAGGTATGCGGAACGGGTTAGGATATACCCGCGCCTGTCGCGCCGGATGACGACGATGACAACGACGACGACAACGACGAGGCGACAAGGATGACGACGACAACGACGAGGAGGACGAGTACGAGGACGATGACGACGACGACTAATAGAGTACACGAGGGAAAAAGGCTGTCGACCTCTCGCTCGCTCTTTTGACTCCGATATTACTCTCTCTCTCTCTCTCTCTTTCTCTCTCTCTCTCTTTCTCTCTCTCTCTCTCTCTCTCTCTCTCTCTTTCTCTCTCTCTCCCCCTCTCTCTCTCTTTCTCTCTCTC